GCGTCTTCTCGATTAATTGAATTMTTTGTTGGTTTAATGAAGATTAATATTTTGTGCTAAAATTGACCACTTGAMGAATAGTAGGAACGAAAGAAAATGAATGAAATAAATTGTATGGAACAAATTAAAAAGAATAAATGTAGAGAGGGAATATAACAAATTGTCCTAGGAAATGGTAACAAAAAAGAAATAATAAAAAGAAAATTTTCACGGAAAAATGCATTCATTTTTGTTCCTAGTCAAATTAGATGGGGAACAATTTTGTTCTATGTTCCCTCTTACTGCAAAGAATAAAAAAGAACTACATGGAATCTTTGTTACATATAAATGGTAAAAAAGTTTAGCAATGAATGGAAATGTGATATTCCTCCATGTTCCTTTCATTTTTTATGGTCACTATTTCGCGTTGAGTAGGATTTATATTTTTTTTTTTTAATGAAAGATTTCTATTTTCCCCTTTATATCAGCTTTAATTGGTGTGAATAAACTAGGAGATCAACATTTTTTGTTATTTATAGATTTAAAGTTTATCATTTCTCAACCTACAAACTAAACACAAATACAAAAACTATAACCAAAAAAAATATACAAGAGTCCTAGAAACTTATTTAATACGAGGCACATAGGGCACATGCCACGCCCTCTTCCTCTCTAGATCCGCCCATGTAAACACTTATACCTTCAATGGAACCTCTAGTAAATTGGCTTTTGCCAATAGAATTTCTTGTAGTTTATTCATATCACAAAGTAGTGATAAAGTAATTGCATTATTGATAACTTATATGAGGTTTCTTAGATGTTTGATTGAATTGTTTTTAATTCCTATTAAACAATGTTATTGATTTTTTTTTTTAAATTGCCTCTAACTAAAACATATTTATATAGATCACAATCAATATTTTAATATTTGATTCAATGTAACATATTAAAAATAATTCTTTACGATCATTTAAATTTAAACTGTAGCGAAAAACCATTTAAAATTTTGAATTCATATTGATAAAACTTAAAACCATATCTAGAATCAGATACAAGTTAAACATATTTATATATATTCTATAATAGTTAAGACACAGCTGAAACTTGCGAATAAAAACATTGATCATCACTCAAAAGCCCATTTGTTTTCTTCAAGAATCTTTGCTTCTTCTTCTGGTGTGTAATCGTTTTTCAACTTAAAAATATCACGAATCTCATTGGGAGTTTTACAAGTTGCCACCATATCAGCAACTGTTTGACAAGAAAGATCAAAAAGACTTTTGATGTCTAGGAATTTAGCAGCTTTAATAAGATCGGATTGATGATGTTTTTCATAAACTCAGCATCCCAAGTCTTTAGTTCCTCTTTTGAACCACCACCATCGACATGTTTCTTGCAATACTCGATCACTTTGGTTAGGGTTTCACCGGTGATTTTGTCTAGAGAGATTACCTTATCAACACAACCATCTTTAACCATGTTAGCTATGAGTTGTGATTGGAGTGCCACTGTTTCTTCAATTTTAAAGATTTCACCATCGGAACTCTTTAAAGCAATCTTCTTGGTGTTTGACATTGTTTAGTTCGTTGAGTAAAATGATGAATGAATATGTAAAGTGAGTCTATGCGTCTCTCTATTTATAACTCCTAGAGGCGGTGAATTTGTTCATACCTTTTACATGATTAAACTTTTTTTTTTTGTAATAACTGTGAAAATCCTTTCTAAGTCCAAAAACTAATCTTATGAGGCTTTGTATTCGGGTACGCGTTCAAAAATATTCTAAATTTGTGTGTATGGATACTAGGTAGTCAAAGCGACTCGAATCTAAAACTCTCCCATTTGAGAGTTACCACTGGACCAAGATGGGATGAGTAAAATGGTTAGTGTGTTAGACTGACGTACATGATTAAATTTAATAGAAATATTTAATATATTATCCAAAGAAAACTAAAAGAAAAGAAAAGTTGTGTGCTTTTATTTTTACGGATATCAAGAACTTAGTTGTAAATATCAAATCCAATTTTTCCCTATTAATTGATTTTTTTTTTAATTTAATCAGTATTTATATTTGTGCTAAGAAAAACAAAGTATTAGTTCTCTATTTTATTAACTTTAATTGGTTTGAGTAAACTAGGAGATCAACTTTAGTTAATGTGAGTAAATTTGAAGAAAAACAATTAATATCTCTTCTTATACGTGTAAAAAAAATCTAA